AGAATACAAATATAAAGCAACAAAACTAACAGTTCTTTGAAAAGATAAACAAAATGGACAAACCTTTAGCTAGACTAACCAAGAAAAAAAGAGAGGATCCAAATAAATAAAATTATAAATGAAAGAGGAGACATTACAACTGATACCACAGAAATGCAAAGGATCATAATGGACTACTATGAACAACTACATGTCAACAAATTAGGTAACCTAAATAGATAAATTCCTAGAAAATAACAGCCTACCAAGATGAATCATGAAGGAACAGTAAATCTGAACAGACCAATTATTGAGTGAGGAGATTGAATCAGTAATTAAAAACCTCTCAACAATTAAAAGCCCAGGACCAGATGGTTTCCCTGGTGAATCCTACGAAACATTTAAAGAATACCAATCCTTCTCAAACTCTTCCAAAAATTAAAGAGGAGGGAACACTCCCAAATTTTATTTTCATTTTATAAAGTCAGCATTACCCTGATACAAAACCTAGGTAGGGACCCAAGAAAAGAAAATGACAGCTGATATGTCTGATGAATACAGATGCAAAAATGCCCAACAAAATACTAGCAAACCAAATTCAAGACACATTAAAAGGATCATACACCATGCTCAATAGGAATTTATCCCTCAAATGAAAAATGGTTCAACATATACAAATCAATAAATGTGATACATCACATTAATAAAATGAAAGATAAAAATTATATGATCATCTCAATTGATGCAGAAAAAAAGCATTTAACAAAAATTAACAATCATTCAGGATTAAAAAATGCCTCTTAACAAATTGGTATAGAAGGAAGGTACCTTGACACAATTAAGGCCATATGTAACAAGCCCATAATTAATACCATACTCCATAATAAAAGGTTGAAAGCTTTTCATCTAAGATCAGGAACAAGACAAGGATGTCCAGGCTCACCACTCTTATTCAATATAGTAATAGAAGTTCTAATCAGAACAATCAGACAAGGAAAAAAAAGGAAATAAAATGCATCAGAACAGGAAAGAAACAAACAATATTATCTCTTTTTTCAGATGACATGTTACATGTAGAAAATATTAAGAGGCCACCGAAAAACTGTTAAAACTAATACATGAATTCAATAAAGTTGAAGGATAGAAAATCAACATACTAAAATTAGTTGCATTTCTAGTCAAATCTATCTTGAGAAAGAAAAACAAATCTGGAGGTATTGCAATCTCAAATTTCAAGATATACTATAAAGCTATAGTAATCAAAACAGTATGGTACTGGCACAAAAATAGACATACAGATCAATAGAACAGGATAGAAAGCCCAAAAATAAACCCATGTTCATGTGGTCAATTAATCTATGACAAAAGGAGGCAAGTATATAATGGGGAAAAGACAGTCTTGCCAATAATTGTGCTGGGAAAATTGGACAGCTACATGCAAAAGAATGAAACTGGACCATTTTCCTACACCATACACAAAAATAAACTCAAAATGGACTAAAGATCTAAATATGAGACATGTAACCATAAAACTCCTTAAAGAAAACATAGTCATTAATCTCTTTGACATCATCCTTAGCAACATTTTTCTAGGTATGTCTCCTCAGGCAAGGCAAACAACAACAAAAATAAACTATTGGGACTATATCAGAATACAAAGTTTTTCACAGCAAAGGAAACCATCCACAAAATGAAAAAGGAAATCTACTGAATGGGGAAAGATATTTCCAAGTGATATCCAATAAGGGATTAATATCCAAAACATATTTTAAAAACTTGCACAACTCAACACCAAAAAGAAACCTGATTTTTAAAAAATGGGAAAAGGACCTAAATAGACATTTTTCCAGACAGCCAACAGGAAAAGATGCTCAACATCACTAATCATCAGGGAAATGCAAATCAAAACCACAATGACATATCACCTCACACCTGTCAGAATGGCTAATATTAAAAACATAAGAAATAACAAGTGTTAGTGAGGATGTGGAGAAAAGGGAACCCTTGTGGGCTGTTGGTGGGAATGTAAATTGGTGCAAGCATTGCGCAAAATAGTATGGAAGTTCCTCAAAAAACTAAAAACAGAAATACCATACGCTTGGTACTTCCACTAGTAGATATTTACCGAAAAAAAGTGAAAACACTGATTCAAAAAGATATATGTATATGTCCTCAAAAAGGATATATGTACTCCTATGTATATTGCAGTATTATTTATAATAGCCAAGATATGGAAGCAACCCAAGTGCCTATCAATAGATGAATGGATAAAAAAAATGTAGTGTGTGTGTGTGTGTGTGTGTGTGTGTACAAAGACAGATACCATACTATTTTTGTTATATGTGGAATCAGAAAAACAAACAAATGAACAATCAAAGCAGAAACAGACCCATAAAAACAGAGAACATACTGGTGATTGCCATAGAGGAAGGGGTTTGAGTGGATGGGCAAAATAGGTGAAGGCAATTAAGAGGGTATAAACGTCCAGTTATAAAATAAATAAGGCATAGAGATGAAAAGTACAGCATGTGGACTATAGTCAATAATATTGTGATAATGTTGTATGGTGACAGATCTTAACTATACTTATCCTAGTGAGCATAGCTTAATGTACAGAATTGTTGAGTTACTACACTGTACACCTGAAACTAATATAACATTGTATGCCAACTATACTTCAGTGTAAAAAATAAACTAGTTGTGTTTCTATACACTAACAAATTATCTCAAAAAGAAAGAAAACAATCCCATTTATAATAGCATCAAAAATAATAAAATACTTAGGAATAAATTTAAAAAAAAAAAAGGAGGTGAAATATCTCTACCCTGAAAACTGTAAGAAATTAATGAAAGAAACTGGAAAAGAATTAATATTGTTAAAATGTCTGTACTACCTAAAGCCACCCATATATTCAGTGTGATCCCAAATAAGATTCCAATGCCATTTTTCATGTAAATAGAAAAAAACAGCCACAAGGAGTAGTGGGTGGAGGAACTGGGTGAAGGGGATCAAAAGGTACAAACTTCCAGTTATGGGATAAATAAATTCTGAGGATATAATGCAGAGAATGATGACTACAGTTAAAAATACCATATAGTATGTTTGAAAGTTGCCAAGGGTAGATCTTAAAAGTCCTCATCACAAGAAAAATTTGTAATTGAGGTGATGAATGTTAACTTATTGTGATAAGCATTTCACAACATAAACATATATCATTATGTGGTACACCTTAAACTTATACAATGCTATGTCAATTATATCTCAAGAAAACTGAAAAGAAACTAAAAACTAAAAAACTTTTTAAATAATAAAATAACAAAAGAAAAGATTTGAACAAGATACTTTACCAAAGAAGATACATGAAGCAAATAGCACATAAAAAAAATGATGCTTAATATTAGTCATTAGGGAAATTAGTATTAAAGCCACCATGAGATACTAATTAGATAGGCTTTTTTAAAAAAGATAATTACAAAATACTGCTGGTGAGGATGTGAAGGAAAACATTATGATAAGTTAAAAAAAAAAAAGCCAAGCTCAAAATTCTGTCATATAAAAGTCATTTCTTTTATATGACATTCCAGAAAAGGCAAAACTAGGACAGAAATCATATCAGTGGTCATCAGAGGTTAGGAGCGGAGAAGGAATTATCTACAAAGGAACTTGAAGGAAACTTATGGGATGATGGGAATGTTCTGTATCTTGACCATGGAGGCAACTGCATAACTGTGTAAGTTTTTCAAAATTCATCAAACTGTACACAGAAAAAGGGTGAATTTTGCAATATGTAAACTGTACCTTAGTAAACCAAAGAAGGCATTAAAATAAATCCAAAATTAAATGCATATAAATCACCCTGTGAATGATTTTAATGACATGTACTCAAATCAGGGCAGAATTCAGAACATTATTTGAATTATTGAAATTTCTTTTTACGATGGACTTTCAGATGAATAAAACACATTTTCCTAAAGTGTTTGTCACAAAAAAAGTTGTTCAAAAGTGAGACATAATTTAGTATCACTATCATCAATTAGCATCTATGGTAATCACCTGTGACATAATTTAACACTCATTGATGCAAATATTTGAGAAACATTTCCTGAGTGTAACTAGACCACAGACCTGAAAGGACTCACTTCTCCCCAGTTCTGGACCAGTAGGATATGCTTCAGACTTCTCCAATAAACATTCATAAGGTATGAGCAGATGAGATCAAATCTTACAAAAATAACTTCAAACTTAGCTTCAGCCAGTCCGTAACAGTAAAGCTGTTTAATATTAGAAAATAGTATCACACAGTATAGCAACATTACAAAGATGGTAATTAATACACTTAAAACAAATGAAACCTATCAAAGACATTTTTTGTTGTTGAATAAATGAATAATAATTGTTGTGACAGTACAATTTAAAAAGGCTTTTCATTTCATGTGTGTTATCAGCACTTCAATATAGAACATATTGTCAAGATTAGTGATATATGGATACCAATGGTTTTTTTCAAACACTGAAAGCCAGTATTTTCTGGTAAATGCCAATTTTCACACAACAAATTAACTAAACATAACACAATTTCAGGAGATGATGATATCAGCATAATTCACCCAAATTACAAAAATAGCAACACTTAAAATCATGCACATTATTTCACCATTTCATAAAACTTCTCTTTAAACTTCTACAAACTTTCCCAGAGTAAAAAGATTCCTCAAAAGCCTCATGATAACATTAAACTACAAAATTCACTCTGGAAATGCAGGGAGTTATTTTTCAAATTTTTGCTTTAAGATTTTTTTTAATCTGTGAAAATATATAGTGAGGAGCGTGTTGAGATAGGTGAAGGAAAAAAGAGCTTCTAGTTGATGGATTCAATATGTCTGAAAATACTTCAATAATGTAGAGAAAAAACTTCAAGAGCAAGAATGTATTATAAATAGAAGCCTTTCAGCAAGATGGACAGGTGAGCAGTTCTTGCATCAATTGCATCCACAGGAGAGAGGTCTTGAAGAAGGCTAGTTTATAGAATCTTCTGTATGATAGAGTTGGCTACATCCAATGATTCATCTTTTACTAGAACAATGTCATAAGAGTCCATGTTCTTTTCTAAAAGCTCATCCACCTATCATTTAGCTATCTAATTTTCAGAATGTGTTCAACATTGGCTACTCCATCTGCCATTCTTATATCCCCTTGGGAATCTCCCAGCAGAATTATGTTGCTACTATCTTTTCATCGATTGAAATATTCTGTATTCTTCAAGGCACCATCATGTTTGTTAAATAAAGGAATTAGTTTGCCTTTGAATCCTATGAGCACCCCATTATCATCAAAATCCATGAAGTTGGACACTACTGTGATGTTCGGGTGATAAATGCTAGCTTGATGGATTACCTCCTCCAGTATATCACCAATACCAGCTGAAAATATGAACACAGGGATACTGTATTGTTGGAGTTTATCAAAGAAATTCTCATACCCTTCCTTGAGCATAACATCAGATTCTGCCACTGTGTGATTTAGTATACCATTCTACCATGTAGGAGTACTTCTCTTCTACGATAAGAGCAGGATCAATTTCAATATCATATTTTTCCTTTAGTTGCAGTAAATTTTCTCAGCATTCATGTAACCAGCTTACTGTTGTCAATGACAACATTTTGGGCATCTTTTCCCTTAATAGGAAAATCTACTCAGTGTCATATCAAAGTCTGTTATTTTTTCTTAATTTTATTATGTTATGTTAATCACCATACATTACATCATTAGTTTTTAATGTAGTGTTCCATGATTCATCGATAGTGCATAACACCCAGTGCTCCATTCAATACATGCTCTCTTTAATACCCATCTGTTATTATCTGAAGTTTGGCAGCTCCCCCCTTAATAAGACCACAGATCATTTCTTCTACTCTTACAGGGTTCTTATTTTGAACTCAACTTCTATGGAATTCTTGCATCATTTTCATATGTAGAATTGGAATCTTGATTAGGCAATTCTTGGTTCTCCAATCTTCCTGAGGGCACTCGAGTTCTTTTGTCCTCGAATTTGTCCTAGGATAACAGCATAGGTGATAAGCAATATCCAGAGATGCAGGGCTTGGATACAGACATCTTGATAATCTTGGTCTTCCACGTTGTCTTCCTCTTCAAGGTACATATGTACTGGGCCAGCATCCCCCACCCTCCCACAACCAGGGTGCACACACTGGCGCTTGCCACCACACCCATCCTCGCCACAGCTGCCTGGTCCATGAATGGGGTATCCTGCGCCTCCCAGCCAGAAAAGAAAAATTCAAAGACATTTTTAATGGACCAGATATTATAACTCTCAAATCACTCAAAAGCAAAATGATAAAAATGTAATATAAGACCCAAGAACATTATTTAACAGTGAACAGAAGAATCAAATTATATACATGGAATTTTTAGTTATAACCTCTCTACTGGAGGATACCTCAGACTGGGATCCAATGGCATTAAGTACTAGTCCCATCTATACCAAAGCAGGTTCCCTACTGCTCATATCCATGTTTGAAATAATTAAAGAACCCAGCAATTTCAATAAGGTTTTACTGTGAATATGAACTCACCAATGCTTCATAAGTCCCCAAAGATAAGCAATCTATACAGGGTTGGCTTCCTGGACATGCCACTTATGGCACTCAGGTGCATAGATTAGAAGGGCCTGAAGTTGGTTTAATGCTGTCACTATCTTGAAATTCTTAACAATTTAACAAGGGCCCCATATTTTAATTTTGTATTGGGCCCCACAAATTATGTAACTGGTCCTAATTATAAATACCAAAACTGACATGAGGATTCTGAGTTACTCTTTACTATAGTCACTTGTGTCATGCATTTGACAAAAACTAACCAAATTTTTATTGAAACACTTTAGTTAAGAAACTACAACTGTTAAACCGGCAAGTTGGACTCATATAGTACCTAGGAACTTCCCGTAAGATAGGCAGGTTGCAAGGACAGTTCATTTGTTTCCGAGTTTGGAACTTCCACTTCCTACTCCAGATAAAATGGGGTAAAGAGAAAACTAGATAGACTCTCCTCTCAGGTGATCAACTGTCTTTGTATGGGAGCACATATTTAAACTTGTTTTTTTCTGAATTTTCATTTTGGTCTTTGGTGAGTTCTTCCTCTGAAGAAGTTTTATATATTAATTTATTCACTCATTCAATAAATTTTTTCTCGTGAGTACCAACTATGTGCCAAGCATTGTGCTCAGCACTAAATAGAAAATACAAAACAAGGCTAAACAAAAATAAAACAAGAAAACAGTCTTCTTCCACATGAAACTTAAAGTCACCAAATCAGTCACTCCTAAACTTCTCATTTATAGTCTTCATAATTTTGTGACATTTTCCCCCAGGGCATTGATTTTTAATCTATGAATCTAGAGGAACAGTATGATACATACCAGCTTTTTCAATAGCAAAATAATAGAAGTGTACCTTTTAAAACATCAGATTTTACTGTTTAATAATGAAAGTTGGCTTTAAAAAAAAAAGAGCCCTAGCTGTGTGAAAGGCATCCAGTGAATAGTTAGCATTGCTCCTAATCTAAACCACGTCACCATTCTTCCCTTCCTATAAATGGCATGCACTATCATGGTCAGTCTCGGAGCTGGCTTCCAGCCCAGTCAGCCCCTGCAGCCAGCAGGGCCCAGGGCAGCAGTGTCTTTTATAATAGTAGGTAAAAAGCATTTGGCTTGCATCTCCATTGCTAAGTCTTTCTGCAAGATGGCAAATACATAACCCAAGTGCTTTGGAGCGGAGCTGATTTTAAAAGCATTAGAGCAAGTGAGCCTTCTCTTAATCGTGGTCCAAACAAAAACCAGTTGGTCCCCTGCCGTCTTTCTTCATCCTCAGTGGTGTAACTATGGCTCTTTGGTTCTGGAAAAGCATCTTCCTTATTCATTAGCCATAACACAAAGCAGCAGATGCCTAATACCTATTTCCATAAAGCTTCTGGGCTGAGGAAGTGATAACTGGTTGGAATTAAGCTGAACCTGGAAACATCCTGGGGTTCATTTTTATTTGAGGTTACAAAATCAACAAGTGCCATTTTTCTGAGCTGGGTAAAGGGGAGCAAGGTAAAGGTATCAAATGGCACTCATATTTGGACGTGAATGAAGGCTCATATCCCCTGACAGCTTGGCATGGGTGAATTTAGTTCCTGCAAAGCATACGGAGACTTTTATTTCTCCCCAGTGAAAATGTGTTATTTTATGTGCTCAGACTATCACAATCCTCCCCTGCTTTTTTAGAGAACATCTATTTCTGGTGAGAGCTGCCAATTCATTATCCCACAATCTCACCCCACAATTGGGACACATGACCAGTATGAGCCAGTCAGAATCTTCCTCGGGGTTTCTCACAAGATTTGGAGGGAAAGAGCTTTCTTTCCTCTCTAGGCTATAAGAATATAAGATCTTGGATTCCTGGAGTCTCATGGAGTCAGACAGCTGAAGAGAACAGGGCTACAAGCAGAGAGCAGCAGAAATGAGAGATGATGAGGGAGCCCTGATATGCCTGTTCCTGGACCTCACCACCCAGAGGCCAGCCCCTCCTCTGGTCCATCATTTCAGTGCATAAGCTACACCATCTCTTTTTACGTATTACTTTGCTTATGCTAGTCCAGATTGGCTCTCTGACACTTTCAAGGAAGAGTCCTGACCAATTCACTCCCTACTCTACAAGCTGCATGTCTACAACCTGACTGACATCAAGCAAGTTCAAATAATAACCAAGAAGGTGAGAGGGAACCAGATTCTCATACTCAAGGAAGCTTACCTCCAGCCAATTAATTTCTTTAAAGTTTGTCAAAGTCACAGTGCTAACTTTATGAAAGCAATTGATTTAGAACCTAATGTTCTTTTCTGTGCAGAGTGCATCTCTAAATCATGGTCTATGTCCTGGCATTTGGACAGGAGATGAGGCATGGGGAGAGAGGAGGCAGGGCCTAACCCAAGAACCCTGCTCAAACCCAGAACTTTGCCATACAACTAACAAAATGAAAGTGTTCCTAGGTCCACAAACTTTCATTTATATCACCAGGTGGTTCCCTTCAACAACTGTCTCCATGGATTAAGACTCTTGCTTCTGCAAATCCTTAACTTCTATCCAAAGTTAGAGACCAGATTAAATGAACATCATTCTTAACTCAAAAGAATTCCAAAGTCAAGTTACCAATCTGCTCCTCCATACCGACCATTATGCATTCCCTTCCCATTCCACCCACACTTTCATTTATGTATCTCTACTATTAATTCATTCATTCTATGAATATTTCTGAGTATCTCCATGTTCCCGCCATCATGATTTAAAACATGAGTCTCCCCTGATGCTCTCTTGTCACTCCAAACAAAAAATTAACAAACTGAGGGTTGGGTGGAACATAAACATCAGGATCAACAAGGCAAACAAAGGGGAAAAACCTACTGTCACAACTCATCAAAAATTGGGAGCTAAAGAAACAATATTCTGACACAAATTGTCCCTAAGTCTCCTAGAAGTAGTATTGGTGACTTAATAAATCTTGAAAATTTCTATTAACATTCCCAATGTAGGGAGGAAGGAACTTAAGTGGAGTTCTCTCATTTTTTCCTTCTTTTGAGAGAAAATGGTTGCTAGGGAAATAATAATCAGGTGAAGTGAATAAACAGGGCTGGCTCTCTCTGATGGACTGAAGACTCTAGAACTCTACATAGATTGGGGGAAAATATTCCAAAGCCCAAGGGTATCTACCCAACTAGACTCAGTGAAGGTGAAAGGAGAATGAGTCAGAATAATTCATTTATGATATATCAGCCAAAAAAAAATCTGAATCAAGTTCCCTATTGTTGAACATAAGTGAGGTGAAAACATACAGTGTGGTAACCATGCAGACGTATTACAAAAAGGAAAGGAATGAAAAGAAGCAACACAGCAAGATAGAACCCCATTTGCCCAAAAACATAATCATGGAGGAGAAGAAAGTTCCCCATGAGCACTTCAATCTATATAGTAATTTCATAGGTGTGTTAATTCAACATGACAAGATGAGTGAGATGAAAGGGATCCCAGGAAATGCAGAGGAAAAAGGCAGATATTAAAACAATAAGAGGAAAATATATAAGAATGACAAAGATAAGACAGAATAAAGACAAGTTTTTGGTTTCCTTATGTACAAAATTCAAAACGTGGAAGAAAAAAAACATTCAAAGATTACTAGGGGAAAATTTTCTCCTTAAAATGAAGAAAAGTTATAGTTTTAAAAAATATACATATACCATGTTGTGGATATACCTGGTTTGTCCATCTAATATCCATTTCTCTTCCTCCTTCCTAACAACAAAAAGTACTCATTTAGACATTCACCTCTCCTCCATAGGACTCCTATGTTTTGGGGATGCTGACCCACCCCATGTCCAAAACAAAGAGCAGGTTCAGATTGGCTTAAACCAATCTAGCAAATTCTACTTCCCTGGCCACAGATATTGATTCTGGCTGAGCATGTGAATTCAATCAGTTAAATAAGGTAAATTTTAGGATTCTTGCTTAAAACATTGAAGAAAAATGACTCTGTGTTCCAGGGAGTATAAACTCTAGAGAGAACTTTCAGAACTATTTCTTATAGTGAGTTCGGCTATGTATGTGTGTATATAATTACAGTGCAGCAATTCTTCCATTTCACTTCACTTTCTCTTCTGATAAATTTAGGAAATATTACATGAAATATTACACGAAAAATGTTTCAAAACTTTTCTGGAACTTGTTGGAAATCCAACCTCTAGGAAACTGGAGGAAGCTATTCACAGGGAGGTATCACACTGGAGGCAGTCCACTGCAAGGCTTCCCAGGGTAGGTGTGCAGGGTGGGAGTGTGTGGAGTAGCTGCTGAGAGCTGTTTGCTGCTGCCACCTGTTCTTCAAGACTAGGGCCCTGGAAAAGCTACCAGGACTGTAACAACCCAGGGCTAGAGAAAGTCTGCCAAAGGAGACCACCAAAACCAGGAAGCAGAACCCTCTTCCTCCTCCAATGACTGCCAGAACCTTCTATTGACAAAGCTTTAGGACAAGCTGGCAAAGGAAAAAACATTTAAAGGGCCCAGATAAATTTTCACAGAGCATCTATAAGAACAAATTTGGAGCTGAGAGACAATAAATTGATAACCAACCTAATACCCACAGGAAAACTTAGCGTTATTTTGCGCATTTATAAAATTTTACATATATATGATTTCATGTCACAATTACTG